AGGGGGATACCCGTGGGGTGGCACGGTGAGCAGAGCACCACCGGGAAGCCAGCTGTGATCCAGCTGTTGCAGCCATGGGACTCCCTGACGTACCGGTCCCTTCTCCATTCCCACGCTCAGCACCGCTGTAGGTGACCGTCCATCCCATGCTGAGGACGCTGGTTGGCGCAGGGCTCTGCCACGTCCCTCGTGAGCCAGCTTTCCCCCCACTGTGCGAGCAAGGTCACAGGGCCTTACCTCATTGCTCGTCCACCCGCCCTCCCATATTAGCTGGAGGCTTTAATTAATAAAGGCATTCACCATATGCTAAGTGCTGTTCCCAGCGCCCTGGAGCTGTGGCCACACCGCAGGCTGGCGTGGTCAGCGTGGGACGCTCCTGGTCTCTTCCAGACCCAGCTACCGGTGAGGCTGATCTTCCATTTTTTAACCCTGGGATCATGCCCTAGGGGACGGCAGGGTTGGTGGCTGTGCAGGCTGTGTCATCTTGGCCGTGCTGGTGGGTTCCAGGTGAGGGCTGGCTCCTTGTGCCAAGCCACCCAACATGGAGCAGCACGCCCCAGATGCGTGCCTCTCCATGGGGCTGCTGGCACCTCTTCCCACCGGGGCTCTGTGTGGCTCCCCCAGTGCGGTGGGACATGCAGGGGCTGATGCAGAGAACCCCGGTGCTGGGTGCCCTGGGATTCTCGGGAGGCTTGGCAGTGGTATTTCTCCCTTCCAACAGTTCTGGTTTGTTGGATGGCTCCCAAGGAGCAAAGTGCGGTCTCTGCAGAAGGCAGCCAGGTGGCACAGCCTGCTTGGTTTTGGAATGGAAAACCCGGTTGGATGAGCAGCTTTGGAAGGGAGTTTATGACCAGCTCCCACATTCCCAGTGACCTCGCCATGCTTGTGGCATTGCTTGCCCACCAACCTGGGCTGACCTAGGTTTGAAGGTGAACAAAGCTTGGCGCTGGCTTGGCTGAGGCTGTGGATGGAGCAGGGTCTGTGTCTGCTGCAGTGCTGGTGTGGCCCTGTATCATTCCCGGTGTCCCCGGGGAGATTGCAAAGGGTGGGTGGGTAGCGAGTGGAGGGGGTGTGCGACTGGTGCTGGCCTGCTTGGAGCAGCAACAACTTCTCTGAAGGCTTGGCCTCGGGGACGGGGTGGAAATAGGGGCTGCAACAGCAAACGTCCGAGGTCCAGATCCTGCCTGAGTGCAGATAATCCCCTTGCACTGGGACTTGCCAGTTGCACACCCCGTCCATACACTGGGGAGCCTGGATTGTCCCATGTGTCCCCCCATGTCTGTCACCTTCTGTGTACAGCCAGCTGCTGCCAGCGCAGGCATCCCCCTGCTCCCCTCTGCTGGGCTTGTGCCTGGGGGTGTTTTTGGAGATGCCAGTATTGGGGGGTGGGAGGGTACAAGGTCCTGGTGCCCTGGCCAGCAGCATCCAGTCTCACACCTCTGCTGAATGCTGGCTCCACCGTGATGTCTGTCCCTGGAAGCCCTGGGGCTGGGCTGCCAGCTGGCCAGTGCCTGCTTTGCAGGCGAGAAGAGTTTGGGAGTAAAGGCTTCACATTTGGTTTGCTTCAGGTTCTCTGCTCCCTGACTGCCTGGAGCATCCCTCTGCCTCCCAACACAGCTGAGAAACGTCACCCCTTGTTCTGGCTGTGCACCCACCCATACCTGTCTGCAGCCTAAAACCAGCCAAAATGTTGGCTTTTCTTTCTCTCTCTGACCGATGCTGGAAGCTGGGGTGGGAACTGGGATGTTCTTGCCCTGGGCTGAGTGCTTACAGGGGTGATCAGCACGGACAGACCAGGTTGTTCTCCCAGTTTGCCTAAGACCGTGCCCTGGAGACGTCTGTTCTTAACTGGGAGAAGTGGACCCGAGTGGGAGCTGGGAGCCAAGCTCCTCCAGGCACTGCCTGCCCTGTGCCTGCTTCCAGCTGGGCAGGGAGACCCAGGAAGCTCCAGCAGGCTGGGGCAAAGGGGACCAAGGTGGGTCCCCAAGGGTGCTGACACGTCCCTTGCCCTGGACAGGGCTGCTGCTGCAGGAGGTGACCATGGCAGGGCTGCATGAGCTGCGCTTCACCGAGGAGAAGCCGCTGCTGCGGGGCCAGGACACTGAGCTGGTGAGTCCGGTGAGCACACCGGTGCTGCTCCCTGCTCACGGGGTGCCAGGACGTGAGTGCTTAAGTGGGAGCTGGCGGGGGGGCGTGTGCTGGTATTGGGTACATGTGTGCACATACGTGTTGCTGTTTGGTGCAGATGTGCGTGCAGATGTGTGCTGGTACTGGATACACCTGTGTGCACAGATGTGTTGCTATTCAGTGCATGCGTGCATGCAGATGTGTGCTGGTACTGGATACACGTGTGTGTACATACGTGTTGCTATTCGGTGCATGCGTGCCTGCAGACGTGTGCTGGTATCGAACCACACACATGGGTTCTGCTCTGGTGTGATGACAGACGTGTGTGATGCTGCCCATACACACTAATACACACGTGTGTGTGCACACATGCAGGCAGTATGTGCACGCGTGTGCAGGTGTTGTAGGTCTGTGTGGACGTATGCACACATGTGGGAACCACGTCCCCCTGCCTCCAGCGCTGCCCCAGGCAGCAAGCGGGTGCTGGTGCTGTCAGAAGGCTTTGTGAGCTAGGGGGGGCAGGTGCCGCGGGAGTGAGGGATGGTGGGGGGATGTCTCTGTCCCCAACGGCTCCTTCTCTCCCCAGGAGAACTCGGATGTCTTCCTCTTCACTGTGGACACGGACTGGAAGGTAGGACCGGTCATGGGAGGTGCCCCCGACCCCTGGGTGCTGAGTGGGTTGGTGGCCTGTGGCTGGGGACGGCTGTGGGGCTCTGAGCAGACCCGAGGGTTCTGCTGTGCCCCCCTCCCATGGGGATGCAGCGCCTGGCTGGTGGCTGTGCAGGGGGCTGGGGGGCTCTGAGCAGACCCGAGGGTTCTGCTGGGGCACCCTCCCCTG